CAACCCCAACCCCAACCCCAACCCCAACCCCAACCCCAACCCCAACCCCAACCAACAACCAACAACCAACAACCAACAACCAACAACCAACACCCAACCACCACCACCGCCGCCAACAACAACAAGAAGAAAAGAATAAGAGAGTCACGTTTGTAAGCAGACAGCCATAGAAATAGGTTGATGAAATATGTAGAAAGATGCGCAGTGCACACTATACTTTGAGCCTTGCGCGGTGAAATTCTTCAAAAGCCTGCACTTGCCACCCAAATTGATGCAAATTGGACCTATCCTTTCTTTGATCCACGGCCGACCCACAGTTTCAAGACAAAGTAAGAACAGACTTTGTTCCTGAAACAATTATAGGGCGTGAAGCAAGCTTCAAAGTACTCGAATGATACCGAAAAGCGAGTCCTTTGGAAACATGTCTTCCTGCTCACTCGGGACTAACGTCCGCAGTGTCCGGAGCAAGAACCAGCGGATTTCACCCAGCAAAGCGGATGAAGCACATTAGGCACCCTTCCGCATCGTGATTTCTGAGAAGGACGCCGAGCCAGTGCAGCTTGGAGTGGATGGTGTGGGTCTTCAGAGAAACGAAAGACCTGTGAGAATTGCCTGGCCAAGCATAAGTGTCACCAATCATTGTACATCAGCGCTTGGAAGTTATGAAGGCAAGCCCCACGACTGGTTGTGTCCGAACCCCTGGTGAGCTGTTTGTTAGTGGACCTGCTTTTTGTGAAATTCATAAACGCCATCGCCCCCCTTCTAGAGATAACTGGTGATGGCAACCTCGAAACGTGTGTACAAACTTGCCTTCCGGCGCCCAAGTGGGAGTGCAAGTCGAACGGTGTGGCCGGGGTTTTCCAGGTTTGGACCAAACCCAATTCAGCGAAATATGGGTGTAGTTATGGGTGTGGATTAGTATACAGAGACCTCCCAGTTCCACCCCCTGGAAGAAGGGAAATGGACTCAAACCCATTGGTTGGAGTTGGTTGGAGTCTCCCTATAAAAAACCACGCACCCATATGGTCAGTTTGAGCCAAGGAAGTGGTTGTGCGACTTCTACGTCTCGCGTAATGTGATGAAGAAGTATAGCAGCCCCACGGCGCTGGCCAACGAAGCTTGTTTGATCGTTGAGGGACTCTGTGGCATCGAGGGAAGCCTGAAGGGATAACACTGCCACCACCTGACACGTACGTGTACACATAAAATAGTATGTATATACATGTGTAAATTAGTTCATGGAGGATACACCTGCTAATTGAGGGCCATGCGGTTCACTCCAAAACTGTGTAGTTCAACATGTCTCCTCAGACAAAATCCTAAGTGGCTGGCTTAAGCCATGGGTGTTGCCCATCACTTGGTGAGCGTGGTCACTGAGGTACCCTCTCCAGACCCTTCTGGGAGAAGTTTCTCCTGAAACCTCAACTTCTCTAGGGTGATGCAACACCTTGGAGATTTGATGAGATCTGTTGCTTTTCTAGGGACTTCATACCAGGGGGCTCGTCCTTTCGAACCGAAGAGCTTTAACGTCGGCGTGGTCTATCATCACCTGCTAAGCTTCCGTGGCCTCCCTGGTTTTGTTTAAGGTGATATGTTTCATTTCCCATCTGGTGAATCCCCTTCTGGTGAATCACATCATCCACAAGGGCATTCACCCTATCAAGAGAAGGAAGGGTGATTCCCTTTTAAGGTGGAATCCACTTATATGGTCCTTTCCGGTGCCTTCGAACGGCAGCCAAGCCGAACAAATAGGACCGAACCGTCCGGGCCGTTTCCGTCGGCGGTCGGCGTCGGTCATCGTGAGGAGATGAAGATTCATTCCACACAGTTCTCTTCCATGGGCTCTGGCCCTGTGCCTCGGCGAAGAGATGATCAGAAGCAGGTAGAAGAAGAGAAAACCCACATTTGGCCGGGTAAAACACGGCTCATTGAGTAATGTTGGTATGTTTTTGCATAATCAAAATGAGGTCCGTTCCTGACCGGGAATAGAACTTTTGTGAACAACTTGTCAAAGTGCTCCAAACATCTGCAGGATCTATAGAGATCAATACAGATAATCGGTCTTCGATGATGGAATTATGTGGGGGGGTCCAATTGCGTGGGCGAACAACAGGTGAGCTAGAAATAATGCATCAAATGCACCAACTCGGTTCCATGTGCTTCGAAATTGCTGTGACCTCTCATTTGCCGCTGAGAAGGGCGTCGCAGTTCCCAAGAGACAAGAATCATCAAGAATCTCGAGAATCCAAAGCTTTACCTTGATGGTTGAGGTATCTCGAACTGTCTGAACCTTCGCGGGCTGCTTCCAATCTCTTCCAATTCCAATAGTGTGATCTACCCACCAACATGTGATGCTTGCAGTGGAACTAGATAAGCAATGATAAGCACTAGATATTGTAGGCCCATAGGCCTGGGAAAAACTGCCCCGAAGTCCCACGCAGCCTGCAGCCCTGCCGCCAACGCTCCCTGCCCGTTCCCCATGTGCCACCGACGTGGCGTTAGGGACGGGCCGGCAGTAGGTCTTGGCTGCCATGGTGACCCCGGCCACTTACACGTGTGCCGGCGGCTTGGCGACCGACCAGGGTCAAGTCCTCAGCGGACGCTTGGAAGAGAAGAAGCGGACACACTTGGTGGGGACTATTGGTTGGTCTGCTTCAAGATATAGAACACTTAGACCGCAAACCTGTGCGCACTCGTTTGTTTGTTGCTATATAGATGCGTTCTGTCTCAAATCACTTGGTCAATTCAATTAATTACACCTTGCGCGGAACACATTTGGCAATTTCTAGATGAACGTTTGGCAACGTTTGGAAACCGTTGTCCCATTCAAGAGTTCGGAAAGTTCAAAGTAAAGATTCTGATGCAAGTGATGCACATTTAAAGATATGTCTTCACTGGCACCAGAGGCCTGCTCCATACAGCATTTCTATGAGTTTCTTGCTATTTTACAGTGCGCACCGTATCAAAAAGAGACAGTGAGCTCTCAGGAGCAGATGCAAAAGTGTGAAAGTGTTCCATCTCCAGAATCCAGCTCTACCGGGCCAAGCAGCTTGAGAAAGACATGTTGGATGTCCCGCGGGACGTCCGGTCCAAGAATTCCGGTCCACCGAAAGGTTCCATTGGCCTTTAGCGAAGAAGATGTTCGGATGACCCAAAAACATGAAACGATTCTAGCAGATTCTTTGCTGTTTTTTTAAAATATTTACTTATTGAATTTGGCCTGCACAGACTTCCAAAATGACCTTCCCTTAATTGGAATCCCTTTGGCGGGATCTCAACAGCAGGCCCCCTCGCACCGCGCTTCCTTCCGCTGCACGCTTCGCGCTGGCAAAGGCACTGGCCAACCCATCCAGGGCCTCTTCGCAGCTGGTGAGGTCACCTCGTGCCCATGCCCACGTGCCTGGGCTGCCTGGGCTAGGGGGGGGCCTCTAATTTTCACGCGTGAGTGATCTCAAAGAAGTCGGACTTATAATGGCGGAGTGAGAAGGAGAGATTGAACAAACTAGGCAAAGAGCTCACCTTAAGATATCCGCAGGTGCAGCCAGGATGGAGTTCCATCCTTTTTGATCTCATCTCTCTCTGTTCTGCGAGCAAAAACAAGGCCTTCCAGCGATGTCCCACGCCTTACAGCTTCCAATCACATCTCCACCGACTCTGAAAACTCGTCCATCACTTTCCGAAGAGAAGGCCAACCGATTTTCTGGCCACCTTTTTTGGACTCCGCAGAGCTCCAACTCACAAATCTCTTACTTACCAAGCTCGCCTGCTGTTTGCCGAGGTGCTTGGTCGGCCAGTGGCGTGCCCTTGCTCTACTCCATCTATACGGGTCGCCAGGCCGGCGCCAGCGCCGGTGCGGCGCTGGGCGCCAAGGCCAAGGTGATGGAACTCTCCAGCGTGGCGAGCGACTCGGACGGTGGGATCGTGTCGGTGTACAACTCCGGAAATGACGGTGCTCTTCGCTTCAGGTGAACCTTCAGAAAAAGACTTGCAGATTGCAAGGGTGTGTGTGTGTGTGTGTTGCTTTAACAATCTTTAACATCTTTTCTTTCATTACTTCATTAAATCCAGACACCCGCGTTATCGCTGTTGCGACAAGATTGAAATCAGATTCTGTTTTCCTAAAATGCCACCTGGAAAACGAATGGACCTTAGGCATTTCTTAGGCATTTCTTCTGAAATGCTCGGACCTCGATGTGCAGATCTGTTGGACCTCGATTTGCTCACCACTTGGTCGGTCTCACCGCCGTCCGAGGCGCTGTGGAGGCCAAGAAGCCGGAGAAGAAGGTGGAGGACATGACGCGTGACGAGCTCTTGACCTATTGCAAGGCGGAGATGGTCCGAGCATGCATGGATGTGGAAGGGTGGGTAGGAGATGGGTAGGAGAGTGAAGGGATCGTGGGCCAGCTTACTAGGTACTTGGATAGAGTTTCCTGAAGAAAGGATCTTCTGACATACCAAGGGCCAAGCAGGACTTGTTCCTTTTCTTGTTACAGGGTGACAACAGCAAACAAGTGAAAGTATACATCAATTTATCACCTTGGAAACTCAGCACAACTGAATGACATTGAATATGATGAACATCACCCAGACATCATGTTGAAATAGCCTCGATAGCCTGGAAATCACCTTGAAATAGTGTGACCTTAACGGTCATCCTCAGCAGGAATTGGACGTGGAATGATGTAGATACGTTTTGTGACAATCACGACAAAACCAGCCTGATCATGCCAGTCCCTCATTCAGCAAAATTGGGGACATTGGATCAAGGTCGTGAACGGCAGTTGAGTTTGGATCAAACAGAAAAAAGTCAACAGGAACAAGTACGCATTTTGCATCCAGGTTGTCAATCTTTCTGAAGGGCTTCAGAAAAGGTATATAAATCTGGGGAAGTAGTTCAGTCCGTAACCTGGACAGTGTGGAAGGATTGAGCCTTCCCAAATCATCCGGACACAACCTTCAGACATCTCACCAAAAGAATTCAAAGGGCCAGAGGGGGGGTCTTTCTACCTACCCTATCATTGAAGACTTTTGGGAACATCAGCTGCGCATGGCACCAAAAAGTGATGCACGCGGAGTGAAGAGAAAGAAGCCTTAAGCAGCCACCATTCGCCTGTTATATGTTGTTCAAGTTTGGCATGGCTTGACAACCCATGTTTCTACTGCTGTTTCACTTGGTTTGATCGTTTTCGCCCCACAAAAAAACCGCAAAACACCACAGGAGCTGGAGTCGCGGCCCGCAGCTGCTGCCCCGGCGGCGGCCGCAGGGCCTCCAGGCGTGACGATGGAGGAAGTGGCCAAGCACAACAAGAAGGACCCTCGAAAGAACATGGAATGAGTTATTGGGAATGCACGACGATATAGTATGTTCTACAAATTTGCAAATAGCTCCAACATGTCATAATTTATAGCGCTCTTGCATCTTGCCCAGTAGCATCATCTTTTGGAAACAGCTTCTTCCAATTTGCCATTAGCTTCAAACGGGCCACCGACCAACGGGCCAACCCAGTAATACATCTTATACATTCTTATGCAGCATTTCCGTGTGTGGGAAGCTTGGGAGGCCTCTTTCCCCCCCGAAACTCCACTCGCTTCGGGTCGAAAGCGTGACATGTCCTCAAGACGCCCAGCAGATGGGCGTCGTAGCGTCGCCCCGGGCCGCTGATCCAGCCGATGGGCGGCGCAGAAGATTGATGCCATTCGTCTTCTGCCGTATGGCTTGTATGTTGATCATTAAGTATCATTAGCATCGTCCATCCACTACTGCCAGAGACAACCAATTACATCCATTTACAATGTATGCCGTAAGGTCCGGTGGAATTTCTGGGCAACCATCACAATCCACTCCGCACACCTGTGGGCACCGCCACCGCCATGCCGTCCCCTGCGATTTCAGGACGATGCTTGGCTCGTGGTGAACGGCGAGGCGATCGATGTCACCAAGTGGATCGCCATCCACCCGGGCGGCGAGCAGGCCAGGCAACACGGGCCACCACCAGATTGCCACCACCAGATTGGTGGGCTAAGGGTTATCCCTCAAGGCCCCTCAAGGCCCTGGCTGAGTCAATGAGAGTAGGATCACCGAGTCACTGCATGGGTTGATGCGATGGATGTGATGGGGTGTCCGGGGCGAGGCTTCTTTCCACCGAGTCCAGTAGGGCGCCGTTGACTGTAGGCGCCGTTGACTGTAGGCGCCGTTGACTGTAACGCGAGACTTGGGGGACCAAACATGGAGGTCCGATGGGTGAATGAGACGAGGTGTTTCCATCAATCTGCCCAGACTCGATCAATCTGATGTTTTCGCTCCAAAAGTGGCAGCCCAGATCTGGGACGACTGCAGGCCATCATGGCTTACCTGGGGAAAGATGCCACAGAAGACTGGAATATGATCCACAAGAAAGGCAACGTGATCCTTGTGGGAGTGGGGGACGGGTGTGGATTGATGCTTCAATGCGTCTTTGGAGGAGAGGATGTAATTGTAGCCACACCATTGCTGGGTGTTCATTTGTTTGGCCCGATGGCCCGATGGCTGATGTGACTGTGGGTCCACGAACTCTTCACCCCCCAAACCAGAACGACTCCCGTGGAAGGGTGGAACGTCAAGGAACAAGAAGAAGATATCAGTCACAAGGAGTCCAGATGTGCTATTTTGTTATGCCTTCCATCGCTCATCATCGTTCTACTATGTTCTACTTCTGCCAAGCCTAAGCAAGAAAAGATGGTAACCACAAGACCCGCCTTTGTGCGAAACATTCAAATCAACACTCCAAGATGGACTGAGGCAGGATGTCAACAACTTGCCATTGCAAGATCCACATCCTCGTTTGCTTTTAAGACCTGCCCCCCGTGAAAAACGTAGACGGTGTCTTGCAGCCGTTCCTGTCAAAAGTTTAAGGGTTACTAGAAGATCCAGAAGATCTGGGTAATGAGCATTTCTTTCTTGTGTATGATCTCTTAAACTCATCTCCCCTCTGCCCGCCCACCTCACAGGAAGCGAACAGCTCATAAATCATCTCATCCCATCATCCCTCGGGCTCCACATCCTCAGAAGGTAGTTGAGTTAGACCCAAACCCATCTTAACCACCTTCTGAGGAGGTGGTTGGGGCAACACATTTTATATGAGAAAACTGAAGCCAAGGGCTTACTGCAAATTGGTTTTGAACCCCGCCATACTTGAGGTATTGTCTGTCACCCAAGTCTTCCCAGAAAGAGGAATTTGCAGACAACTTATTCACTGTACATGATGGATATGGACATTACCTCAATAGTGACCAACCAGTTGAAATTGAAGATTCCGACGTAATCCCAGCTTTGTGGCTGCAGCACGTGTTCATGAACTTCCGGTCAAACCAAAAAAGCAAAAACGTTACTTCAAAACCGACCAGAGAGAAGATTGCTGATATTGCTGATCCTTCCAGATTAGGTCGGAATTTTGCCTGTGAGTAGAACTCATCATTGCAACTGTTAGCGTCTTAAGCGGAACTCTTGCACACCACCTCGAATGAACCATCCATAACCATCCATTTGGTTCTTTTTTGTTCACAATTCGTTCGTTGCCGCCGGCTTTTCCGTTGTTTTGGAGCGGGGACCGCGGGAGGATGTCGGGACGGACGGCCCCCCCGGGGGTCCTTGGGCTGCTCCTTGGGAAGTGGCCTGTTCCCTTTGATTCATGGGGTGAGTTGGAGGCTGCTTGGAAGTGATTTTGCTGATTTCTGTTTGCGTACGACTTCGCACCTTTTACAACCTATAGAAGCCTCGATAATCGGTGATTTCAGTGAAATGGGTTTTGTGATCAGTCCCTATGTAGCCTACTGCCTCTCGATCTCAGATCCAATCGACCTTGAACTATGTGCAAGACTGCTTCCCACCCTTCTGCACGCCGAGCTCAGCTGAGCTCGCTCCTACGCTGCTGAAACTCTGAAACCAGGCACCGTCGAGAAGAATGCGCAGCACCTGAAGATGATGGGGAAGATCGGTGCGGGTGGTGGGGGCGCCGCCGCCGCACCGGCCGCGGGCGGGGGCGGCTTGACGCCAGATGATGTGGCCAAGCACAACAAGAAGGAGCGGTCCAACGAGGTGGTGAAAATTGGAGGCTCCAGACATTGGTAATTGGTGATCTACAGTAATTAATGGCACTACAAACTTGGATGGTCAATTCCTACAGTTTTTCTTCTACTGTCCTACCCCCCCGGCCCATCCTGGCCTCTTCTTCCACCTTCATCGATCCAGGATGATGCTTGGATCATCGTGAATGGTGATGCCTTGGACGTCACCAAGTGGATTCCCATCCATCCAGGTGGAGAGCAGGCGCGCGTCAGTGAAGCACTCCAGGTACTCCAGGTGAAGCAGAAAAATGCGGGGATGAATGACATTGAATTACTGTCCGCCCAATTGGTACAGAACCAGGAGTCCTCTTCGGTTCCTTTGCATGGTCCTTTAGTCTTCCTCAGCTCAGGAGTCCAACTCGTCAAGTGGTCCGGCCGAAACCACCTTCCCTGTCCGTTTTAGGGGCGCTGCGTGAAGGACACCGAGAGCCACATCGGTGGACACCGATGTCTGGTGCTGTTTTATTCGGCGATGTGTTCATGGTGTGAATCCGCCATTGTTGTATTGGGGATGTTGCGATAAAACCACTTAAGTCAACCTTCTTCTATCTTCATTTAACTAATTACGTAGTTTGAGTCGTGTTAAAGATGTGTTTGTTAAATCACCATACATCATTTTTCTACTATAGAGCCACTACTGCAAGGAAAACCAAACTTTCTCCCGCCCGCGCATGGTTTTTCGGTCCTCGCGCATGTCGCCATTCGACTCCAGGCCATCATGGCGTACCTGGGGAAGGACGCCACTGAGGACTGGAATATGATCCACAAGCGAGGCGGGAGCTGAGTGCTGGAGCGGAGGTGGGAGCGGAGGATTCGGGGCACTGGGTATCCATGCGGTTCATACTTCACGCGGTCAATGCTGGGTTCGGAAAGGATGTAGGAGCACAGATTTGCTGGGTGACTGGGTGTGAATGTGGTTTTCACATGTTTTCACATCATTCAACTTATTCAACATCTATTGCTGTTGCTGAACATTTGGGATCCATCGGGCTCCGGATGGCAGTCACAAACCGCCCTCCGACTCCCTTCGCTCGCTCGACCTCGTGAGTCGGAGCCGGCTCCGCTTCATGCCGATGGGCAACAGCGAACAATGGACGCCCGTGAAAGACTGAAAAAGGAGATGGCGTCCCTGCCTGGAGATCAAGTGCCTCAAAAAAGAGTCTTGAAGTTCAGGCTTCGATTGACATGTGAAGCCTGTCTGACAAGCTATCTTGGACCTCTTAGAATCTAGATAGATATTCTTGTGCGTCTCATGAACCTTCGAAACACCTTGGGACTTCGACTAAGCCTTGACCCTTCGACTCTTCGCACAGGCACCGTTGAGAAGAACATGCAGCACTTGAAGAATATGGGCAAGGTGCCGGGCCTGGGACCGCTTTTAGAACCTGGTCCTCCAAAGAAGTTGGCCACTGCGAGAACCTTTTACAGTTGGGGAGTTCAATTTCCTTAGAAGGGTACACAATGACTCTTCAGTCAAAGCCCTCCTTCTCGGTGGAGCAACAAAAAAAAGGCTGGATCTTACATGCTTGCTTATATATAGTCACTGCTACCTATATATAGATACCAAAACGAGCATGAACACATTCCACCTTGGCACTCAAGATCAAAACGAGCATGGGGTTCAAGGAGAAGATAGTGTTCACCATGGTGTTCAAGTTGTTGATTAGCTTTCAATGTATTCACAACATCGCTAGCCTTTGTACTGCTAGTAAGACTTTATTCCAAACAATAGTTGAACCAAGTGGATCCTTTGCCTACCACATCTGACCACATCTGTCCAGTGCTTGGTCGACTCAGTCTTTCCGTCTTTCCATCGATCCACAGGTCTCAGGTGCGGCGGCGGCTGCCGCGCCGGCGGGTGGAGGAGATGATTCTCCTCCGCCACCCGATGGCAACGGAGGAATCCCGGGCATCATTGGCGCCTGCAGCCCAGTTGCAGGGAAGGAAAGAGAGGGGGTAGATGGACACTTGGAGATTTGGGGGAGGAGGAGTCGGAGGAATTGGAGTGTTCCTCTTTGTTTTCATCCGGCAAGAGTTGCCGAGCACGGATTCACGTGGTGTGAGCAAGCATTGCCTGCCACGAAATTACCACTTTGAAGTAAAGCACCTCCGATCTGCCAGGAAGACCATTGGCATGAATACTTCGACACTGAGGGTTTCTTCAGTTCGACCGGTCGTCAAAACAGGGGAACCTCTGAAGTTCTACAGTCTTCTACAGTCATCCGGTCGCGGTTTCACGCATCCGATTCGGGACGGTAACATCATCGGTGGGACTCGGTTTGACATCGCTCAAACATACATTCGGAAAGCCAAACAGGTGATAATGAGGTAGGTAGGGTAGGTACATCCGACCTCGTAGGATGGGTTTGTATTTTTTGCAGGGGGGGAGACCTTCTAACATACTGGATTTCCTTTGTTGTTGCTTTTCCCACCTCTCTACTTGGGGTCTCCCTATTCTACTAGTAATGCACACCCAGATTGGTGAACTCCAATCTGATTGGCTGATGGTTTTCATTGGATGACTGCCACCGTCGACGATCTGCTTTAAAGGAATTAATCTTTGAGCATCTTCCACCTGAGAGAGGACAAGTGTTTTTTGAGGAGTCAAACATTTGGTCCGTTTGCCTTCTAATTGTTCATCAAAGGTTATTACGAATCCCTCGAACGGAACGATGGGAGACAATCCCCTCAAAGGAAAACAGAGCAACCGTGGATTCTGGCACTAAATGACAACGTATTTGCCCAAGCTATGTGTTGGTTGAGTCTTAGACCCTCACCAACCAAACATGGATGTGGACTAGCATACCACTCCTCGCATATTCGCATACCACTTGAAGCAGTGCGGGACTAGCACATAGCCACACATCTTGTTCACACAGATGTGCGGGTAGGTCAAGAGCTCCAAACCCTGGTAGGTTGACCGGGCTGGCAGGTCAACCAAGGTCTCCTGGTTTTGGCCCACGGCCATGTCATTTGTATGACTCTGTTTCACGACACGATGTCCGGCTGGCCAGCTCTTCCCTCCTGCGCTCCAGCCAGCGAGCCCCAAAAGTGGTCCAGCGAGGCATCTTCTTGCTTTGGAACGTGGTGAAGATGCTGACCTTCGCTGGGTGGAGCGTGGGCATTTTCTTTACCGGCAACATCAAGTTGGACAACAACCGCATGGGCACCATGAAATCGGCGGCCGCTTGGCACTCATCCAACTCCCGCACCATGCTGAAGGGGTACAGGTTTTCCTTCCCAGTTCTTTTCGGCGACACCCTCAGGTGGAGAAACACCATCTGGATTGCCAGACAAAAGGAGGATCAATTAACAATCCCAACCTCCTTGTGCTCCACCAGGAAAATTGGATGCCGATCCTGTGCTGTGGGGATTCCGATCAGACACCTCCCATGCTTGACACCCAAGCCGACTCGCAGCCGACTCCAGTTTCACCACCGCTCCGGTCTCGCCAGAGGTAGAGCGTGTGATTTGGGTGTTTTGGCCGAGGTCTTTTTGATTACCTTTACCATAGTCCACGCCTTGGGCAATTTCGTGGATATGCTGGGAGGCAGGGCGCCGACCTGTCCAGAACACTGGCGGGTTCTCGAACTGCCTGTCCGCACGCTCCGTCTCCTCTGGTCGTCCATGAACGGCGATGGGTGCAGTGGATCCAAGACGCGTCTAACATGAGCGCTTACCGCATCGTTTTCTCGAGGTCCGGACGAGCTGAATGGCGAGGGATACCTTTTTGATCGAATCCATTGGACGGGTGGCTTGGGACTGGTCAAGGAGCCTTGGTGCTAATGCTCCAACAGCGGGCTTTCGAACACCACAGGCGCTTGAAAAGGGTGTTTTGAGGCATTCCTGGATTCCTGTGAGCCCCGCAAACGAGAGGATTAGCAAACATGGCATATATGAAGGGGACAGCTATCCCCAAATAGACAATACAATAATTTCAAGTAATCTAGAATTCATTTGACCACATGTGATCCCTCAATGATGCTCAATGGACCACTCAATGGACTTAGGAGAAACATGACACCGATTCATTTCGAGCCGCGAGCCTGGGGATCTTGCGACCCTTGCAACCCATGACATGAATCGCGTTGATCCCACAAGGAGCATCAAGGAGCTCGGTGGGCGAGGGTAATGTTGAAGAACTGGAAGTTGGGATGAAATTCGGATTTCCTCTTCATCCCATTTGGGGAAGAACGAGAATGGACAAAAGCGGTTGCCCTTCCATTCGGAAGAGCTGGTTCTTCCCCACTGAGTTCTCATTCTTCGGAGCTTACATGAACTTACCATGTTTGCCCAACTTAGGAAAATCCGCGCATCTAAGGATTTTCCATTCTCGGTGGTTGAGGAGTACTTGGCTTTGGCCCTCTTGCTTCATGTTTCAGCAGCTTGGACATGCTAAGCTGCAGGAGGATCACACACATGGAGAAGCTGCAGGACCACAAGCACTGTGGTTCGACAGGTTCCTCCCAGATATAGGAAAACTTCTTTTCGTCTTTCATCTTTAACTTGGTGACTGGGGCTTTTACATATGGGTTTTCCACACTTCATGTGGCAAGTCGGAAGCCCGCACAGAAGGATCACCTCTTCCGCCCTCTTTCTCCGGACGAGAACAAAGCGTCGTTGGGTCCATTAGGCAGACATTTGGCAGACACCGGTGACAAGTGATAAGCCTTTGATAAGCTACCAAATCGGACGTTCAACGGCGAAATTGGACCACCCATTCGTCTCTCCGGACTCTGGCCAAAGAGACAAATTCGGACTCGTGTAGAGTCACGATGACTTTCGGAGTCAAACAAAAACACAGACTTCAACAACCCTGGAAACTTTCATGGATTTTCTAAATATTATACTGTAAGAATCAAGAGTGTCCATTGACCCCTGAAACAGACCACATGTAATAAGGTTCGATCCGTGCATTGTGAATTATACTATTTTATACTCATTGTTGTACAGTATATTGTTATACGACAAATATCCGGGAGGCCGCGTCCGGGACCACCCCCCGGTGGGCCAAAGATGGCCAAATGACCCAACTTTCCAAGTTTTTTTTTCAGAGAGACCATCCTCGGTAAGCGAAGTCGACCACCTCTTTTGACGGCCTCCGAATCAGGTTGCATTGAAGCGCTCCTACGACATTACCATTGGCTATACCCTTGCCACCGGCCGTTGGAACATGCTGCTGTCAGGTGGGAGGAAAGCCACGTCCGTCCTAATTGATCCTATCAATTGAACATACTTCTTTCAGGCAAAGAAAGCACCCCACGTTTCACACACCTTTTTTCGATCAACACCGAACCCCTCGGCAGACCTGTCGACTCGGTCGACTTGTTCAGACTGGCAAGGTTCAGACCGTTGCTACGAAGCTGGTACTGACCCCCGGGTGAACTGGTACTGACCTCCGGGGCCAACTGGTATTAGGATCACGCCATCGGCACAGTTTCGATGGCGTGATCCTGGCGGAAACCAGACGCAGACGAGGTTCCGAATAAAAACCCGCTCACGCCGGGCGGTTCACTGGAGCCACTACACCTGTCAGATGGTCAGACCATGATAGACGGTTGTATCATGTTCCATCGGTCCATCCTTACAGTGGTTTCAGAGTAGATGGCACAATGCCCAAAAGGCAATTACAATTACAATTATTGTAATGTATATGGGAGTTGATCGAAAACCCCGTGTAAGGAGTTTTATATAAAACAGCCTTTCAGATGTTGTTAGAACCATCAGCGAAAGATTCGCGATGAGGTTCGCTAAAGTATCTTTTTTTTCCGCGAAAGATTTATCGAAGGTCATCGCTTTCATACGTTTTCCTTTCTAAGGGACTGACAAAGAATAGAAATAGAAGGCAATCTTCCGGCAGAGCTGGTGGGCGGAAGTGTCCCCATATGTCACAGACTAACGAATTGAAGCCTCAATATTTCCGTGCCCAGCCCTGGCAGTGCGTAAAGGATTCTCCGATTCCAGTCCCCACTGTCATAGACAAGCAACCTGAGTAGGCGCAGCCCTGACAGTGAGGCAACGACCTGCAGCTGCTCTGACGGGCTGTGCAGATGTTTGCATACGGCTTCCCCGGGAAAGCGCCAGTGAAATTTCGCGAAAGATCCGCGAAAGTTTCGCGAATGTGCCGCTAAAGTCCAGGTCCCCAGCTTTGAGGCCCCCCCAACATTGACATTCCCCAAGCTGCATCACCCTGTGTTGGTAGCTGGCACGAGGATTGGGTTGAGTTGCTCCACAGATGCTGCAAGTGACCCTGAGTAGCTGTGGAAACATTCAACTGGTCATGCTGCAAGATGTCTGTCCCTATGACATGTTCCGGCTCATGTTAGCTAGACATGGTTGTAGGACCATGCTTCGCGATGAGGCCGCGAAAGATCCGCGAAAGATATCTTTTTTTCCGCGAAGAATGGCCATTCCAGGATGAAAGAATATTGATCAACCACCATATATATATAGGCCTATATAAAAGACATTTTTGGGTGCCAGTGCACTATTTCTGAAAACTTGGCGATGCACTTGTTACTATAGTAGCTAGAAGTAGCTTCGTTCGCTACACTTGTTACTATAGGGGCATATGTTTTGCACGATGTAGGTTTGTAAGTGCTTCCGTGGCCGGACCTAGCGAGCCGAGAGCGTGAGCGTTGTGTGCGTCTGCCGAGCCTCGAGCGCGTTCTCGGAACATGCACCGAACGCAGACCACACAGACTGCGGATGGGGTCTCCAAACTAGGGACGGTCACGACAAATATTCAAAGACACCATGACAGTTTGGAGGAAAGGATTGACACCCGATCCGAATTCCCGGGCACTGCCTGCTGGGCCACTGAATTCACCAATTGGTAGCCGGGCTGTGAGGGACCTGGGGCCAGGTCCCAGAGCATCCAGAGCGGCAACCTCCATTTTCGGGTACACCTTTTCTTCCCCACAAAATGTCCATTCCAGGACCCCCACAGGCTTCCACACGTGAAACCCTTTTTGGAGCTTCACACCGGACCGAACCCCTTCCCCCTTCCAGGCCTGGTGGTGCTTACATTTTTGACGAAGCACTTGCAAGACTTCCGTTTTTATCCCGACTATGATTATGTGCCTCGGGAGCCGATGCGAGACGGGTGCGATGCGATTAGGCGCACGCGTGTTGCTCGCGACACCCGAAGAGAAAGGGGTGTCTGGGCCATCGCGAGAAAGGGCAGGGCCGCGATGGTGTTGCTCGCGAGCTGGTGGAAGATCCAGTGGAAAGGGGCGGGTGAAAGGCGCATCTGCCGGAAGACCTTGAAGTTTTGGGAAGAAAGTTCGGGGCTGGGGCTTGGTGTTCATTTGAGCCACCTGGGAAGCCCTTTCAGGACCCCACGCAGTGTTTGTTCAGGATAGATCTTCGATCGATGTTCCTACCTTGCAGAGATTGACATGCTTTTACAACATGTAAAACTGATTTGATACACAAGTTTGAGTGATATTGTGTACTGTTATACATTCATTTCACACATGCACATGTATATTTAATGTAATATTCCCTAAGAATCCGGGCCCTGAAACGGGTTTGGTTCGGAAGTTCGGACCCAGACGCCTGGAGGGTCGGACCCAGCCCAAGGATTGGGTTCTATACTGGATGACTATGAGGGTTCAATGATATCTCCTCCGGTCCTCGGTCTTTTTGGTCCACTTCGATCTCATCCGGGTAGATGATCAGCTGATTCTTTTGGATTCCTTGGAAGTCATGGGCTTTTTCTTGGTTGGAGTACAGCTTTGAGGGCCGAATTCGTGACATTGTCACTGGGCGGTTGAAACTGAGCAGAAAGCTTTCTGAGCTTCATTTGTTTGTTGGAGTCTGACGGGGTGAAGATCCTGGAAACAGGAAGGAGCAGCTGAGCATAGCTGAGCAGCTGTGCTGAATCTGAGGTGGAGCTCAATGTTCCCGCGTTCCCGTATATCAACGTGAGAGGCATGCTTCAAGGAGCCGGCCGCAACCGCCCTTCTGAATTTTCATCGGTTGAACGGTGTGTATAGGCGACCCTAGGATGCATTGTCATCGAGTTCCTGGGCATGACTGTGAGGCGATCCTTTCTGCTTTTAGACGCTTAGTACAAGCTACTGAGCAGTATACTGGCATGATGCCGTTGCGCGCTTAGCAATCTTGACTCCCATGGGTCAGCTCACTCGTGCAGGACACGTTTTCACCGATCCTCATGGTCTAACTGTCAAGGCGCTTCCCAGTGGCGGGTCCGATCCACACGTGTCAGATCCTCATGTGTCGGATCGGTTCGGGAGATCTGCTTGGGGGGCCCATAACATCCGACCCTTCTGAACGTTGAGGAGGAGCAATCAGTGAGCCCAGCCCCGGCGGGGGGCAGTCTCAACCTGTTTCTTAATCATTCTACCGATGTCTCGAAGTCAGATCTCTCTGAAGGGTGGATCAGGGTGGATCCCGCCACAACTCGGTCGGTTTCGGTCGCTTCACACAGTTGGACTTGCAGAATGGTGCAGACTGGTGAAACCCCATGTTGGTTCAGTTCCCGGTTCCTGGGTGAATCCCCGGTCTTAGTTCCGAACTTGCAAGTCCACAAGTTGGACCAAGTCCACAAGTCGGAGCCCCTGCATTCCGGACGACGGACAGGAAGAGCACCGGAATGCATCACAGCAAAAGTCCATGGTGTTGAAAGATGTTGAACGCTAGTTTGCCAAGTCATGGCAGAAGGAAGATGGAGGAAGCACGTGTCTTTTTGGTTTCAAGAGTTTTGAAGCCTCTTTCATCTTTCAGCAGGCACGACGCACTCGGCACGACGACACGGCACCACGTCCGCCGGTTCGATCGAGGCGCGGGATCTCTACTCCCGGGAGGTGGCGCTCTTCAAGGATTTGAACACCGTTCCTTGGCCAAAAGGGACTACGCCGAGCTGCGACTGAGCAACCCCAACGACCCGAAACGACGGCTGGGTCCCCAACAGATTTCGGCCCGCGGAACTGCAACACTGCAGAGATCTCTTGCAATCCATGTTGCAATCCTCTTTTCTTTTGTCCCATTCAAAAAGTGGTAAACACACGTGAAATTAAACAGTCTACGCAGAGCAGGACCATATAGTTATTATATGTTATTATAAGAGGATACTCTAGAGCGAGGACGACCGCCATCCACGGCCCCCGAGGTTCTCATCTACACCCTTTGCTTGATCCTCTTCGTGACCCACCTTTGTCTCGGATGGAAGAAGTTGGTTCCGGCGGACATGATGCACCTGGGCCCAGCTTCCATAGTAACCAGGGCATCGCTACGAGAAGCAAGGACGCTATGAACGGGGCTCCTGGCCTTACTACTAGGAGCAAGAAGCTACTAGGAACAAAGGGCATCGCTTACAAGAGCAGTATCTTCCATCTATACGACCCACCAAAGACTCCCTAGAGGCACTGACGGGACCGCCTTCGGCCGGAGGCAGATCCCTCGCGATCACCAGCAGACGGTGATCTACATCGGATGGCTGGCGGCCTTCGCCATCGCCTTCATGTGACCAGACTTCAGTGAAACGGTGAAGGGGATGGATTTGGTTGGAGCGGTGAAGGGGGAAGATTGGGAGATTTTCATTTTTGTTGGAGAGGTCTTTGGTATAGGCATGAGGTGTGGGAAGCAGTGAATGTAGAGATAAGTCATCCACTTCAGAGATACTTGGGGTATTTTCTCATGTTGAGACAAGCCCAGTTAGAATATGCTCGGAATATTCTTTCCTTATGAGGGCTTCTTTGGATTTCAATAGACCAACGTGTTGAGGGGTCCTCATGTGAACGGCATTGTTTTTCTGAGCTCCACCTCGGCTGCACCGAAAGCGTCGAAGGTACGGCTCTGTGCCCTGGTATGTCTACTTTGCCAAGCCAGCAGTTGTCGACAACATCATCAAGGCTGGCTAGTCTGACGCGAACAATCTTGGGTGGAGCATGGGGAGCCGAGATGAGCTGCGTAGACGCCAAGGCTCCAAGACCCCCAGATGTGCCTGGGTGTGTCAGGGTGACAGCTTTGTAGCAGTCACTTCTTGGCTAAGAAGTGAGATGTTGCATGGACATGTTGGCATCAGTTCAGAACTGATTTAGAACGGTGGAGAGCACCAGTCTTGGGCTCTCCGCCGTGGTCACCAGCAGTTGTCCCAGGCATGAGAGTTGGGACGGACCAGCGCAGACCAGACCTGCGCAGCACCGCGGCGTGGACGCGCGTGGCGAGCCGGGTGGTCGGGTGCTGTGTGAGTCGTGCGAGTACGCGGCTTCCGCGTTCGGGCCTGTTCCGAAAGGTAGCCTCAGGCTAACTGAGTTCTCCTTTTGCTTTAGCAACCAGGACTTGGTGATTTGCCGAGAGTTTGGTCCTATAAGGAAGGATTCTCTATCATAAGGGGCGGCCGTTGGGCCTTGCTTGCTACCTTTCGTTCGCCCCCTCCTCTCTCGTTCGTTTGTGGCACGTCTTCGGAGCACCTGGTTTCTTGGCTGGTTCGTGTCCCCCGGTCCTCTCGGGACTTGAACGGCATCCTTTTCTTCACGGCATGCCTCATGGCCAGTGGAAACTGGAAGATCTGGAAGCCGTAAAACAAGACAACATGGGTTGTGATCCGTTCCCTTCACTTAAGGGGTCTTAAGGGGTCTAAGTGCGCAAAGCACTGGCGCATTTCTGCACTCCATTGAAAAAGAAAGAGTTGCCCAGGTGAGTTGAGTTCTTCAAGCCAGCTGTACCAAGGTACAGATATGGTGTGGAATGGTGAGTAGCCTGACGACATCGGTTTTTTTCACCGTCAAGGGTTTGCGGCCGTGGGCGGAGTACAGATCTTAGGCTCGATTGGGCTCCGGATGGCAAGATGGATCTTTTTGTGCTCGCGGAGAAGAGAGAGTTAATCAAATATCATGGTTTTATCATGGTTTAAATTTATCAACAGCCAGCTTGCTGTATACCACCTATAGAGCAACAACTTACAGCTCTTGGACAGTAGATTCTGAAGTTACACCTCCTCGGAGGAGATTTGGAATGCCAATGAATGCCATCATTTTGCCTGAACCTTTGCTGTGAACGGCAGAATGCCTTACTGACCCTTGATGTCAAGGGATCGATTGTGAGTTTGCTCCACCGGGGAGGTGCAAAACAAAGGGCGCCGCTTCTGAAGCTGCGGGAGGGTGATGCAGATGATTGCAGATGCATGGTGTGAGCTGGAGTGGTGCGTAGAGATGAGGGGTTTATGCAGGGACCGGACATGGGGTTTATGAGCATCAATGGACCGGACACGTACGGACCGGACACACTCCCCAGTACCGGTGTTCATCAACATAAGTATAGACATGTTGGGGGTTTGAACCCTGCCTGACACGGGAACGATCAGGAGGTTCTGCGAGGTGATTCTGCTTGGTCTTGGCGTGTGAATGCCAACCCGCAGGTGAGATTGAAGTTGGCACGCCAGGGCAAAGAATCAAGGCAGGACATGGCCGGGTCATGGGTCAAAAGGAGCACAGGTCAAAACCGAACTTTCACCTGCAGGCCCACAGCTCCTAAGAGAAACACGTACAAGCAATAAGCCCTCTCAAGACTCAAATCCCAAGTCAAACTGGTGATTTCTGGGGCCAACGCGCCCAACATGGCTTTTGGGGGAGGGAACCCAGCTGCTCCGACGAGACCGGAAGCTCGGGTGAGGATCGATCCGTCGTACTCGGCGAACAGGCTCGGTTTTGTTCGGACTCCAACGTGGTTTTGACAGGTGAACGGGTCTCTGTTTTCAGTCACCGGGGTCACCCAGATCTTTGGTTGCTTCGCTGGGTGTTTTGGGGGTTATTTTTTGGGGAGGAGGCCTCCCAAATTGAGGTTCTGATTGAGCATCTGGAGCTGCAGCTCAAAAGGAAGTGAACCGATTGTGAGGAGATGAGACGAACTCAGGAACAGACCTGTTGAGCAGGTGGAACCTGCAGCGCTCGGGGTGCTCTGCCCTGACCACAGGACCACCGAGGGGCGTTTTTCGGGTCACTGCCCTCGTGTTTGGAACGCGGGAGTTTGGATCGTGCCAAATAGTTGTGTGAACGCACATGATCCATTTCACGTGTTCCTGTTCATGAGCGCTGACGACTTGTTACCTATCCTTTATGGCGGTTTGGGCGAGTACATTGGCCATGCTGCATCGCTTGGCCAGGTCCTCTTCGACACAGGCTCATCCAATTTGCCTCTTGGCGAACGAGTCTGAGCACGGTTTCCACATGTTTCCATCAAGCTCGGAGGGGGGGCCTGGGGCTAGGCCACCTCCCCCAAGGCCAAGAGAACAACCTGAAGAGGAAGATCATGTGGCCGCTTCTGAGTTAACTGGGTTAAACTCTATTCTAAGTTTGGTGTGGACATATCGGAGTTTCTTCTGGCTTTCAGTGAGGTGACTTTGACCATCCCATTTCTGATTGATATGCTGCCAGCCCATCCCATCGCCCGGCTGGCGTTCCCCATGTCCGCAAGCTGAGATTCATGGCATTGACCTTGGGGACTGGGTTAAGTTGTTTATTTGATTGAAACACTTTGGAAGATCATGGCTGTTTCGGTTGGTGACTAGTGACTATAGTGCATGTCTTGTTCAGCCCGGCTGGCGTTCCCCCCCAAAATCACACCCCAGAACCGGTTCCCTGACTCGAGCCGGTTCCAGATCCGACCGGTGAAAAGCTTCCCACCTTGGATCCGGCCTCGATCGCGGAGATCTTTCCGCTGTGGACCTGTTCCGGCCGAAAGCCCGGACGCCGGTTTGACCAAAGCCGGAAGCGCCGTTCTTCGTGATTCCGAGGTGGGTCCCGACGCGATCCGGTGGGGTAGCTCAGCATGAAAGGTGAGCATGTAGTTTAGATGGTGTTTGAGAAGATTTTAATGGAATTTCCTGATAACCAGTTATTCGATTGGGGGGGCGAGGGGGGGGGAAGTTAGACTTGTCAAAAATCCGCGCCGTGGGTACAATTAGACTAAAAACAAAACTTCTACTAGGATAGCATACAAACCAATCACCTAAAACACGCCGCGCCCAAAGGCCGGCGGATTCTTCTCGCGTAAGAATGAGGTGCACAAGGTTTCTACCTGATTGTGTCTTGATGGTCATTTTCAGGAAACTGTTTGAACACCTCCCCAAACTGTCACAGCCAGACACAAGGGGGTCCCTCTTTGAGGGAGCCTGTTCAAAACAAACCTGCCCTCAGGTTGAAAAGTCACTGCTCAGCATGACCGGAAACAGCATACCTGTGCATGAGCGTTCCATCATCCTTCGACAACTTGAAGAGCCGGTCGAAGCAGGGTCAGCAAGTGAAGCTTGCCGTGGACTGCGGCGCTGGATGCGGTGGCTCCGCAGGGCCGCAGACAAGGCCTGAGTCTTCCAGATTCAACCATCCTGCTGAAGGGGATCAACAGGTTGAGCAGGAAGGTTCTCCAGCAACAGCCGGAGCTTTAGTTTCGATGTTTGTTGGTGAGGAACACTCTGCAGTTGGACACCATTCCAACAGAGGAGACGGTCAAGACCTTTGCAGAACACTTGCTGGCTGAGCTGGAGCAGTTGAGCATAAGGTTCGACCTACTCGAAGCATTTGAGCCTTTGAGCAAGGCCTAGGCCTAGTAGTAATATTCACACCGCTTCGCGGCGAAGACCGCCGGCATGGAAAGCACTTGTGCTCCCTGAGCCAGGAAAGAACGATGCAGGGCTCAAAGGGTCAGAAGAAGTGAACCGTTAGGAACAGATGCTTATGGAAACAACGAGGTGCAAGAGCGGAACGCAGGGGCAGTTGCACGTAACTGGTACCTATCTTAGGCGTGTTGTGCTCAATCAGCCCAATAGAGAAATCCGCAGGTGCAAGCACGCGCGCATTCAAGAATGCAGTTTCGTTCGGACAGCACAACTAACATTTTGAATAGTTTGCTTGTTGCTCTTTCAGGTAGGCGGCAGGCAAGCACACACGATGTCAATCATGCATGTTCACTCGGGCAGCATAACAAGCATCGCCGATGGCTTGCTTTTCATCGGCTTTAAAACATTAAAAGGCGGAACATTCTAGAGCAAAACCGGCACCTTCCCCCAAAGCTGAAGCTCAAACAACGCCCGAAGGTGCTGACGTGCAGCGGGCCAACAGGGCGGTTCAATGGCAGTTGTTGGAGCAGGAAAAGCGGCGCAGAAAAGATGAAATGCACATAATGCAAGATAACTTGGGCTGCATAACTTGCACCGTAGAGCGACCACATTGTATTACATTAGATACATTAACCGCCTTTCCACCTCCCGACTTTCTTCCTCCACCTCTCTCTTCCCTGTTGTGCTCCTGGCCGGCGCCCGGCCGTCAGGCGCGTGGTTTTGGTTAGGCAGCTACCCGCTCGCTGGAGGTAAGACGGGTCTGCCTGCTGCCGACCCACCAATGTGGAGACCATGTGCCGGTAGTCCCGCCGGGCCACTGGGGAGGAGGTTTGGGCGCCAGGTGTCTTCGGCTGTTGCGCGATAGCGCGCCCGCAAACAAAGAAGCTCGTAAGAGACAGGGACTCTTGTTTGTGCAAAACCGCGATGTTAAACACATGCTTTTGTTCGCAAAATGATCGCAAGGGTGCCACCTCTTCCTTCAAAATGGTTGAAGAATTCACGGCAAAAAGTGTGGAAGAAAATTGCTCCCAAAGATCTCAGCCAGATCAAATCCCGACATGGCCGCTTGAGTGCATCAGGGCGTTGGCAGCGCGCCCCTGCTGAGTTCGATCAAGATTCTCTAGAGGGCATTTTTGGTTTGTTGGTGCCAGATGAAGTCTTGCAGCAAACCGGCTCTCTCTCTCTCGCAGCTCCGGGCGCTACGTCGGCAAGAGGTTGCTGAATCTTTGCCTGCTCAGTTGCCCCAGGTGTTAGAAAACACAGTGCGTTCGGTGACCCAGACAGGTATACAGTGGCGCCGATACCATTGCACAACGACAGGAAAGCAAGCTCGAAAGCTTTGGCGCCTAGTGTGGCGAATGCCAGATTAGATGAGTGGCTGGGATCTGTAAGGAAAGCAATGGGAGAAGGTGTGGCCCTAGATTCAGAGACACTTCCGCTCCTGCGCAAAAGGTTGCTGCGCTTTCGGCCACGCGTGGGTCATGCTGTTGAGCCCCAGTGGAAAAACCAACCTGATACTTGTTGCAGCGCATGTCTCTTGTTTTGAACATGTGCGGCGCTACTAACTACGCAAATAGCTGGGATACGCTGGGTTTGGCAAACAGCCAAGTGTGGGAGACTTGTTTTTTTCCTGCAAAGTCATACCTCACTCACATCCAAAGCATTGGAGCAAACTAATAGGCGATAAATTCCGATATATAAATCCTTGATGTGCAACCTTTGACTCTAGTTCAACAAAACAACGATATGTTTCCCCTCACCTCAAGGCATCAGAAGTCTTAAGAGTGTTTGTTTGGGCGTGACGACGCTTATCCACTTCGACGCGCAGTCTTCTTGAAGGCAGCTTCAGAAAGGTGGGTTGAAGGAAACAGCGCTTTCAAAGATAAAATTTCTATATATATATATTTAGATTGATGTCACTGGGATGCCACAGTTCTTGGAAACAAGGCAAAATTATCAGTCTCTCTCTCTCTCTCTCTGATTCTCCAGCGCCGGTTGCTAGACAGGAAACTCAGTTGGGCCGAGTCCATTTCATTGCCGGGAAATGGAGGATGAGATCAAGACGCGCCAACCCCCAAAAAAATCGTGCGGGTGGACCGCCAACACAAACAGTTAAGTAATGTTGTTGACCCTTGACTAGGTACTACAGTTGTTAAGGCCAACCCCGTGTATGTATGTCTGTCTGTCTGTATGTATGTATGCATGGATGTATGTATGTATGTATTCATATATATATATAAATATATATGTTTGCATGTGTAACCGTTAACCACCGATGGGGCTTGACAGCCCGGGTGGCGTATCTTGCACCACCGATGCCTTTGAGACACCCATATATAGTTTCGTGCAACCACGCGCGCC